CCGCGCCCTCAAGCCTGGTAGAGGCTAGTGGTTCGGTTCAAACTAGTCCATTTACCCGGGCTAAAGAGAGATGTCGTTTCGAACATTTGAGCTCAACGACTAATCTCCAAGCAGATCCCTTTGGGTGGGAGGACAGTATCCATTAGCCAGAGAAGGTCGCCGTCCACCGTCCGTTGGTGAGGGTAGCAAAAACGCAAACCAAGAGGTCACGAGTGCGAATCCTGCCATGTCACCGATTTTGTGTTCTTGGGCGAAAGGCACGAATTCCCTCACTATACTCAGGTTATAAAATAAGTATGTCCGCTGTCCGTTCATGTAATAAATGTTGGAATAAAACAAAACGAAACGCAGAAGTACAGTTGATACCGGCGCCAGACGTGGTTCAGCAATCCATGAGGCACCGACAAGGGAGGATAGAAACAACGGAACTGAAGTAACATGAAAGAATAAGAATATAATCTAAAGATTTCGAAGGATCTTAAAAGTAATTCCCGAACGAGCATCTCTTCTAGGGCTCGACATAAGGAACGGTTCATGCGACATTTTTTAATAACATTTCAGAGGGTTGCAAATGAGCATGAAATTTACATTTCTCAGTCTTTATTTATATCTTTTCGCAACAGGTACTGTACACCATTGGAATACCAATTCAAAACCTAGATGATACCTGATGCACATTGGTTTGTACATTATGTGGTAACTTAGCAAACGCGTAAAAATATTTTATGACAGAACTATTCAGGTCGGTCACAACAGCCTCTGAAAGCCTGTAAAACGCGCATGCCCGTAGCCAGGGGGGGGGGTCCACTTTTTATTTGAAGGTCCACTTTTTGGTCCACTTTGTATGTAAAGGTCCAAGATTTTTCTTGAAAAGATGGACTGGAATCGTAGAAAAACTGCCCCCTTTGTCATTGAATAAAAATGTATCTCTGATTTTTTCTTTGAAATCCTCTCAAAAATGCACGAAATGCCATTTTAGAAGGTTCATTTTTCAAAATTTTACGGGGGAGCATGCCCCCCGGACCCCGCTAGGAACCTCGCGCCCGCTCGAGGTCCCCTCAAACAGTGGGAAGAACCCCCCATTCAAAATCCTGGCTACGGGCATGACGCGCTAGGTCAGACGGTATTATCGTATGTTGCAAGGCCTTGGCAACCCACGTCCTTTTCCAGGAAAACCCGTAATTACGTTTTACGTCATCATTAAAATGCGCCATGTGACGATTGTTGCAGAGCGCAGTAAGGGACGTCAGTTATAGTAGAAATCTTTTTTTTTTCAGTGTTCTGCAATATTGCAGAATGTCAAAATTTTGTTCTGCAATTCAGAAATACTTTCTGCAAATACACACTTTAAGTCCGGTCCTAAATAATATACAAAATTGCATGTTGGCAAATGTTTTACATGCAATTTGAAAAATACATGTAGATGCAAAAATTACTTGTATATCGTAGAGTCAGTAGTAATATAAACACAAAAGCTCTAGCCTGATTCTTTTCAGTCAGCAAAATGGCAGGTTGCTTAATTTTTCTCCTGCAATATTGAAAATGTCTCTGCAAAATGCAGATAGGTAATTCTAACACTAGAACCAATGTTTGTACTGTACCCTACCCTAACAACGCCTCCGTAGGGAGATAGGCGGCGATATGACTCCCTTGAGCTGATCAGAGCCGCGGAAGATCAGGAGTAATCTTCCACCCCCGGTATCCTAGCAACAGGCGGGGACCAACGTCAATGCTGAGGTAAAGGGGAGGATCATTTCTAGCACCGTGAGGTGGAGGGAGGAGGGGGAGTGCGCTATCCTGTCACCAACCTTGTCCATGTGAACTGCACACTCACAGGCACAGACGTGACGACACTGGAGAGGAATCTCAAGGTCCGGCCAGGGCCTAGGGAAGATCTTCTGCGATTTTTGCTGAAGGGACCGTCCGTTGTTAATCAGCTTGAATGGACGATCGAAGATGATGAGAAAAAGGCGCGAACGTCATAGATGGCAGCGCGATATTTCGTGACTGAGCTATCTATCAAAGATCAGGGCGGTTTGCGTATCCGCTTGTCGTAGGCGTTTGTTTCCTGCTGCGTTGAGCGATACGTTACCACAACATTAGTACTAGTATACAGTATACATGTACATCCTTATCCTCATTCATTTTGTTGGGCCAGTACAAGAACTGTGTCTTTCGTTATGCTATAAACAATGACATGAAGGATTGTATAATTTGAGGCTGTGCGTTCCTGCCTCACAAAATGTCTCCATCCTTCACCAAAATGGCCTCACACTTAAATAAGAAAACAATCAAGGTAGACCTTCATCATCAAAGCAACCACAAAGCTAGAGGACACATTTTCAAGACATGTGATTGAAGCTGGGGTTTAAGACGTAAAGAAAGATGACCAAAGACAGTACTCACTTTCCCAGGGCTGCCCGTCCAGTCTAAGAACGCCCATGGAATCGTCTCAGAGTGGCATCCATTCAAACATCCAAGAAAAATATCCCACTTCCACCACCGCGACCTAACACTGTTGAAGTCCTCACGAAGTCTACAAACGTTACACAGCGTCCTTCAGTTAGTAAAGCTTGCGTCAGAAGGCAACTGTCAAGTCCAGAAATCCCGGGAAAGATCAGCGTTTTCTGCCAAAGCAGGAAGGAAGTTTTGGTATGTAGGTTGATGTATACAGGCTCGGCCGGTGACTGTTAGGGGCGATTAATTCCAAGGCCTGCTGGACTGGCTCTCATCTGTACAGGCCCGTTTTGTAGCAGCTGTCAGAAGGAACCTCTGGCTTCACACATCATGTATGTAGGCTTGTTGAACGCACGTCATCTCATCCCCGCATACATATATGGTCTGTAGTTTGTTCTGGACACGGTGGTTGGGCCGGATGGATACAGTGCATTGGTTTGTGTCACCTCTAAAAGCGTGCGTACATATCGTGGCCTTGTTTGTACATTTGCGTTTGGTTAGGTTTTTGCGTGTCCTGTGTGTACTAGTATTATATTAAATGGTACGAGTGTGCACTAAGTGTCTTCTTCCTTCGGCCATTTTCAATGGATTGAAAACATTGTCAAGCATACGTGTATTTCGTCATTCCTTTGCACAAATACAAGGAATTCTTCCTGTACGTACAGTAATCCTTGTGGTTTGATGTGGACACAGCTGGCAGACCTCAAGATGGAGAACGCCAGAGAATGTCTTCTGTCTGATCAGCTTACGGTACTAGTATAAGAGAGACTCCTAGCGTTTGACATTCCCACTGCAGGGTCTGCTACCTTGAGCTTGTTCAATCAGCTTATGGTATTGAAGAGACGTCTAACATTTCAGATAAGTACTGCAGAACGATGAACATGGCCACCGTAATTCAAGTACAACTGTAATAGAACTGTAATAGTACAAGTAATTTACATGGTATTTAGCCTGGAATGTCATACAGTTCCTTGTGAAATTTCATTTTATGGCTTTGTTGATATCAATTGTTGTGGAAAATGCATTTTTAAAATCACACTGCTCTCTACAATACAATGTATTACAATTGTATAAAAATCGGATTCAACTCTGGATGACTGGGTCAGTGCATACACATGGCCTTGCAGTTTATATGAAGCAGGCCTCTGAAAACACAATGCATGCCAGATTGAGTATTTCAACAGTGCACACAACAGTTCTTTGCAACAGTGCACAGTAAAAACAAGTAAAATCTGAGATTTCATACCTCCGGGCTTTTTATTGTATATTTTTATACAGGGTTTTAAACAAAGAATTTATCGAGACCGGACACCCCTCTGTGTGACGGGTCATATACGTGGACCAGACCGAGAATAGCTTAAACACGCCAAAGGTCAACGGTCGCGACCACTTTCACGCTCAAAGGGGTGTTTAGGGGCCACCAAAAAGGCACCATTTTCACGCCCGAAAACACATATACAATAAAAAGAAAAGAACGTGCATCATCTACAGCCCAATAGCAAAACATATACCGAGTCTCAAAAGAATCCCTCCACTCAAACGCGAGAAACAGCTGCGAACGTGGAAATCTAAATCTCTCACAAAACCCTTCTGCGGAAGGATGTCTCCTCCCCCTGAGGTAAAAATTGAGGAATGCGTTTTGAGGGTTTAGGTCCGAATTGACCTCAAATGCAAGTGTGGGCAGTGATGTAGAAACATGGTAAACAATTCATGATAAAAGAAAGCTATTGAATACAACGTTTGGCCAATAATCAACAATCACAATTGTGGAGGGGAAACTGGATATTTTTAGTTTATTCCTCATAGTAGAAATGTGATACATATTTTATTATCATTGTGTGTAGCTACAGTACTATATCGTTGTACAAGTTGATCATGAAGTGTTGTTACAGTACAACTATTAAAGCATACCAAGACGCCTGGCAGAAATACTAGTATATAGCACCAAGTAAATCCCTTACAAGTTCATGTTTGAATTTGAAAGACATGATTTATTGCATGAAGCGGTAAAGTACAAAAGTCGCCTTGTAAAATGCATAATTCCGTCTCTTCCACGTACTGAGAACAGTCAACATCTCATTATTCACATCAATATGGCCGGTGCAAAGCTTTGGGATATGGCAGGAAGTGACATCATGCTTGTTGTCATGGCAATGATGATGTCACTTCCTTTAGCAATCAATGTTTTGATCTTGTCCAGAAGGATGCATCAAAAGATACACTGGCTGTTGCATCAAATCTGTCACCCTAATCAGTTTAAGAGTGACATTTTGGTAAGCCTTTCTTGTAGGATCTAGAAGCAGTCTACGACCAAAAATCTGCCACACAAAATCAAATTTCCCCAGGTTTCACCAGCATGTGACTCCTACATGTACTATTCTCCCCTACCATCCCATACACATTGTACATGTACTTTGTAAGAAGGGTCATTCCTGGTTTGGCAACAAGCTGGACTTTGCATGTATCCCACCAACGTGATCTGCAGATGTGACAGCTTAGTGACACTAGATTGCAAATCCAAGTTTCATATTTTTTTTTTCATATCATATCAGATGGTCCAGAGAAATCTAAGCTTATGTGACAACAATGAAACAACCCCTCATATGAACAGCATCCAGGTCCACTGAATCCTGCACATCAGTTTTGCGACAATACGGCACATTTTCTATGTCAGCAGCCAGTTTTAGGCTTACTATATCCATTTCCAGTTCTTCGCTATTGTTAAAACTTGTGGTACTACACAGCAGATCTAACTCTACAGTACCTTTTCCAATGTACACCCCCCAAGCTTCCATTATTATTTTACAAGTACAAAAGTTATCCATGGTATATGCAAGATTATTCGTTTCTTTTATCTAAAAGCGAATATTTGTAGAAACGTTTTACCACATACATATTTGTACTCACTGTGATGGCTTATTGGTTTACTGTTCTCACATTGCTATGATGGCTTGTACCCTATTTTTCATACATAGAACATTACGTGTGTATTTTTGTTTGCAATTGTCTGTCTCGATACCTTTCCACAAAGACACCTATGCCCCATCTCCTGTGTGTATTATACTATTACTAAATCTTAACATGGTAGATAGAATGGGAATTCAATAAGTTGGCCAAGTATTGATGACATGCTATGCTGACATATGCGAGAGATTCAAAACTTCTCTGGAGTCACTCCAAATCTACATGTTGTAGGAGAAAATAACAGAATTGGAAAAATTCCTATAAAAAAAAAACTTTAACACAAAAATTGTATGGGGATAAGGCAAAAAATTGTAAAGAAAGTCTCCAGGTCTCCAAGAGGTTTACTGAAAAGTACATTGCGTCAATCAAAATTATTTGTACTGATTCTTCGATTCATTCATGCAAAAACATTTGATTATTCTAGTCAAAACGTAAGGAAATGTAGAGACAAAAATTCCTAAAATTTGTCAAAATACATCACTTTTTGAGTACCCATCTATATTTATACCAGTACATACATGTGTTAAACTAGTGCATATGTTTGTTACAGCAGTTCTATATAAGTGTTGTTTATCATCTTTCTTGCTGGGATGCTGAAGAAATGTGACAATCAAAGCTATCTACAAGATGCAGCCAAAGACATGATGTTTTATGCTAAGGTTCTGCCCATGAGTCTACATTTTTGCATTAGAAATAAAAACAAATAACACCATTGCTGTTAGATATACATAAAACGTACTGTTTGTATCAGGTTTATACACTACATCATTCAGTTTAAATATTGCACAGTGCAAAGATGCCATAACCAATCATATAACCTCCTTGAAGAGTCTCGTTAATATTATGCTATTATAATATTAGATTATAGTTATAAAAGCCATGGTCTCAGTTTTTAGCAGTAACCAGTGTACAAGAGGGGCCATTTTGTTACAAGTAGGAAAAAAAACCCATAAGACAAAAGTTGACAAAACAGCAGGAAAGTCAACACTGAAGAAATAATTCGATATGTTTCCACGGATAGAAATGTCTTCTAGTTGCCATCTTGCGTCTATGTTTCTTATTTTGGAGTTCAAAGTGCATTGTAGCTGCCACAACATAGGATTTTACACAACATGGCTGCTGGCTCACAAAAGAAGGTTTCTAGAAAGAAACTCCTACAATAGAGGGACACTAGTGTAGGTTTCATTGGTTTGCAAAGGAAAAAATGTCCCCTGGTGTACACTGTACCTACTCTAATACGACGGAAATAGATTCTGGAGCGCGTTTCTTCTGTGGACGTCCGAAGAGGCTGGATGTCTCCAGTCCGGGGTACCGGGCAGACTGTCCGTCGGGGGGAACACCCAGCAGCCAACCAGCCGCCAGACACGCGATGTGGGGCGTTGCGGCCGAGATCTGAACGGCACACACACACACAACAGCACAGAGGGTTGGATCTATCGAGGCAGAATCTATTGCAGTCTGGGGGGAAGACACGAGTTCCGTGGGTTTTTTTTGGAGTGACTGTTGGTGTTGGCGATAAATACGGTAACCTCCCTCCAAAGCCCTTCACCCACCCGAGCAGCTATTGCTTGTGGTGTGCCTATGGCTTCTTCCTCAGTACCCTTCAGAGGGAAGGAACAAATAAGAGAAGATGGTAGAGAACAGGTTAGAGAAAAAACAAAATGCAGCACAACTACAGCACAAAGAAAGCCGTAAGTATCACACAATCAGAACATGACGATAAAGATTGTACACATATGAAGATGAGATTCAGCATGATGAGTTGGTTGAGGTAATAAGAGCTTGGGATTATGGACATAATATCCATGGTAATAACACGTTCGTACATGTATGATGAACATCCCCAGTCTGTGAGTCAATTTGAAATGAAAGTATACCTCACTGCATGTCAGGGACGTTAATTTTGGCCCATAGATACACAGCAGCAGTGAATAGCATGGAAAACACAAGAGCACACCAAGGCAAGCACAGCACACAGTGTTGTTTCTGGAGAGAAATGTGGACAAAGCATAGAACAGAAAATCCACATACAGTAAGCTCTTTGCAGCTTGCTTTAGCAGTTAATGGAAGCAAACAGAAGCTGCTAAATGAGCTTTGGAGCAGACATTAAGGACAGCGTAGGGATGTAGCATGGGGTTGTGGAGGTAGATAGAGCGTTTTCACCCACTTTACAAAAATGTACTCATGTTTCTTTTTGTGTTTAAGGGCAAAAAAAACAGGCCTAGGCATCCTATTATGGCCCAAAATGGTACGATAGGAGCCATGAAGTCAACACACCAGGCTGGTTCAAAATTTAAACAATGAATTTTGAACTTTTAATACTATTGCATTGAAAGATGGAATAACTGTAACAACTAGGAAGAAACGGACTATTTTTAACTGTTCAGGGCAAAATATGAGCATTTTGCAGTTGATTCTGAATTTTTTTTTTTTTGCAAATCAGAAAAAAATGAAGCGGGCGAATCCGTTAACCAAGAAATTAAATTGGTGTGGCCTAATAGCAAGTTTGAAAGAATCTTCTGGTATTCTCTTTGAGATGGAGACATGTCATACTTATTTGAGAGTCATTGAAGATCTTCAAATGTTTGATATTTTTGTGAGCCATGATTCACTAAAATCTAAATGTCCCAACATAGCAGCAGACACAATGAATTGTCTTCGTGTGAAAACGCTCTATACAGAGAGAAGCCTGTTATGCCAGCACAGACCACACCTTACCTTGCACTAAGTCCCTACTTCCAGGAGTCCAACCTAAAGCAAAGACCAAAGGTATACAGCATGGAACTGTTGACAAGTTTCTGCCTACCCTACGTAAGCTGCCAATGCAGAGCCCAAAGCCCCTTGCGTTTTCAGCTCAAACTAAAGAAAAAAAATGTTTGATGCGGTTCTCAGCTTGAGGGGTCAGTAAGCTGGGCATATATATTAAAAAAAAAGTTTCAGCAAGTTTGGCTGAATTCTGAGTTTTGTCAGTACCCATTGTGCAAAACATTATATTTTGTGGAGGTTTGAGTTTAATATCTGTTTTCTCCAGTGTTCTTTACATACATGTAGACCATTTGAATCTTCTGAGTACTCCTTGATGTTAATTTACGGTCTACTTTAGATCTATGAGGACAGGGCATTTAATCTGTATTCACATCCTTGTAGATCTATTCAAAACATGTTACCACTAAAAGTTTAAGATTTTTGATAGACATTGACATCCTCTGCTTCCTCTGTTGTCAAAAGTCGCTGTACTTTTTGTTGTGTCAATAAAGTTCTCTAAAGTTCTCTATCTGTTGCAATCCAAACTGCACTCATTCCTGGCACCCATTATGAACTTACTACGCCAAAAAGGTAGGAAGAAACTGCTGTTGACATGTTACAAGACAACTGATAACTGACAGATAACTGACTTTTGTTGGGCTACAAACTTTTGTTGGGCCATGGACAAACACACATTTCTTTGTGTTTTGACTAGAATAATCAGTGAATGTTTTTGCCTGAATTAACTTAATGATTGGTCTTTTCTAGAAAAGCGTGGCAATCGTTCTGTTAGCTTGAGTTAGCTGGTACATGCTTTATCCTTGTACATGTCAGGCATTGCACAGCAAGCTGCGGCGCCTACATAAAGCCGTTGTTACATGAAAGCTTGCTCGGCTCACTCATACTGCAAAAGTATGCTAGAGAGGATTTTTTATGGGTCATTTTTTGGCAACTGCAAAGGGGCAGAGCCGTTTGTTTTTCGCTTCTTGCAGTGGGGATTGGGAAGAAAATAATTGTTATTGTCTGTTGTGTCTGAGATGTTTAATCATTAATGAATGGAAGTCATCAATATCAAATTTGACAACTGGAAAAGGGAAAAACTCCTTAGTGTACTTTCTAATGGTGAAAATCACATGCCAGCAAGCTGAGAAAAGTCGCTTGTTTCATCATTAGTCAGTACTTTCATTCCAACTTGATGTTAGGGGTGCTTTTCATGCACAGACTGCTAGGTGGCTCTGCTCCTGTGTTAACCTGTAAGATTTCTGTAGGCCCTTTGCATAGAGTGTGATGATGGAGGAATTGAGTACATATTTTTTAAACACGAACATACATCTTTTTAAGTGCATGGTACAACTAAACATACATTTTTGTGTCCACATTCTAACAATGTGCAACATTAAGAAATCATGGGGAAATCATTTTCTACACTGTTGCAGTTACAGTTCGTGGCAAGTCTAGTATTATTTTCAAGACATACTGAATCTCAGCTTGATTTTCTGACAGTGTGGCATAGACAACTTATTGTTGATAAGCCATTTTCTAACACCTGCATTTTGAGGTTTTGAAGGTCTGGTTGCCCACTTTTTAAGTCAAGGCTCGAAAAACTGGGTGCATGTGCACCTTAGAAGTTAGTCCACCCAAATTTGGAGCTGTGCACCCATTTTTTTTGTGGGTACACCAGTGCACCCAAATATTTTTGTAGGTTTACGAATGTCAAGATGTTAAATGTAGAGTAGTACTAGTATTCAGCATATTCTCCACATCTAAGTGTCAGAAAAATAATAAAATCATTCTTGTAGTACTTTTCTTTAGAAATTTTTGCTGACATTCTACTTATTTTGTCTCATATGGTGCACTCACGTAAAATTTTGTGCACCCAATTTTTTTAGGCTGGGTGCACCAGTGCTAGCCTGGGTACCATCATGGTTAGTTTACGTCCGCTCCCACAGTCGCTACGGGTAGCGGACGTAAACTAACCAGCATGGTACCTAGGCTACACCAGTGCACCTAGATGTACTAGTATTCCCAAAAATGAATTTCAAGCCCTGCATGTGAACCATGTAAGGGTTTATTCACCAGTTTCCCGTCCCCAGAATGCAATGCAAAAACAGGTAGCTAACACTCATTTGCATAGGACAGGAAGGCATCGGAATGATCCTGGTGACGTTAAACAGCTTGATTTTCAGTGTGTTTTGAGGTGTTGGGGCATTTTATGCTCAACGTTAATTAATTTACTATGGGTTGAATCTGAAAACAAATAGAGAGTGAATTTTTTGGAATATGTGGTTTGCAACGTTATAGTGGTAACGCTATACTGATGCTGTAACGTCACAAACCACATGTTCCATGTTGAAAAGAACACAAAAACTTCATTCTCTATTTGTTGTCAGATGGTAATTTAATTAATGTTGAGCATAAAATGCCCCAACACCTCAAAAGACGGTGAAAAACAAGCTGTTTAACGTCACCAGGATCATTCCGATGCCTTCCTGTCCTATGCAAATGAGGTTAGACCCCTGTTTTCGCGTTGCATTCTGGGGATGGGAAACTGGTGAATACTTATTTGGCTTGCACCATGAAAGTATAATCAATGTAAGATCTTCAATCTTCATATCCATTGCAATTCCTGATCTTGAAAGATGACTTGTGAAGCTTTCTGGATTCATTTCCACACATGGTTTGTGTATACGATGTTACAAATCTTTCCAACAGTTTCCAATGACTACGTAACATTGCTACTTGTATAATTTGTTATGCTAACAGTAACACACACACACACACTACTTGCTTCTAAAAATGTGATAAGTCCTCACGACTTTCATAAATGCTGCTCATTTATATTACATTAACATAGGCTTAAGCAACACCAAACTACAAATACTGACATGCATGTTTTCACAAAATGCTTTCCACAGTTACTTCATAACAGATGGAGTGAAAAGACTACAACACGTGTTACATGCAGTGCCATACTTTGACCATTCTTTGCATGCTTGTGTGTTTTACCTAATATACAAGCTGTCCAACACCTTAGAAGGAAAGCCAGGCACATTTTCCACTCTTGGAAGACAATACAATTTTTTTTATTATTATTACAGTAGTACTGGATACAAAAGTAACTATTCGCACACCACGGGACACCTATACATACACGATAAATGCTGTTTCATACATACCATGCAATGTGTTTGATCCTTCGTTACCAAGGTAGCATGCTAAGATAACAAGGTAACATTGTTAGAATCCACATCTCATACACAAATTCATTCAATTCATTGTATAATTAAAATTGAGTGCTGAATAAAATGTTGTGAGACAAATACAGCAATTAAGATTACATGTCAGTGTAGGTGAGTGCTGCAGTAGCATATTGTGTACTTTTCTTTTTTGAGTGAAAAAAAAAATTCATACAATATCTCAATCACAGGAGGACTGAGAGTATCATATAAACAGGAGATTGGACCAACTAGTCTTTGTTTTTTGTTAAAAAGTACAAAGTTTTGGGAAGGATGACAATTTTGGATGACAAAAGGAAATAGACATATTTTGCCTTTAACATGTTTGTCAGAAGTCAAATTTGTGCACATGACACCTCTGCATTGCAATTATACATTACTTTTGATCATAAGGCACTTGAAAATATTGAATGTTTTTTCTGTCATTCTTTCTATCATATAGTTTCAGACATCAAATCACAAATAAGTGGGTATACGAAAACCCCATGTGAAAGCACGCATTAGAAAGAAAACAGTTGCAACTTACAAAGATTGGGTATGCATGCTTATACTTCAAGTTAAGCATCAAAACAAATTTTCTGCCAACTTTCAATATAAAAAAAAACAAGAGCTATTCAATATGACATTATATTACTATTGTTACTTGTCCTCTAGCGTAATATATTTGATGAAATAAAGAAAAACCCTACATGTTGAAACTCTTACACTGATGGAAAGAAAAACTCTATGGTGTTCTATAGTGAAATAAGAAACTAAAAGCAACATGTCTTTTAACACATTGGAATGGTTGTAAGTATCAAAATGCATTTTCACTACACCATTTTGAGGGACATATTTATTATGAAGCATGTATTATGAGTAGGTAATTACCAAATTTCATTGTAACATCCAAAGTTGTGTTACCAAATTCGCATGTCATACATTTTATAACGTTACATTCGCACATGGCTTCACAAAACCTGGATTACAGAATGCTCTAACTACGATATCATGGTAACATTCCTAGTAAGTTGTTACAGGTTTTAAAGTTTAGGTGGAATGGTCCGCTTAAGCTCTGTAACTTAGGCACTCAGGTTCTGCAACCAAGGGAAAATATGACAGTAACTGGTGCAACATTTCCAACTCTAAACCTGAAGGGTACTGTCTACATGTACAAGAACATCCTACGTGAATAACAATACAAAGAGTTGCAGGAATTGGCCCCTAAATTTCTTCTGGGCATAAATAATAGGAATCTATACACTGTATGTATATAACTTGTGGTGGTGTAAATATTCATGTAAAACATTATGATTAACATGTCAAAGCTGGAAGAACTCCCTCCCTTTTGGAATTCAAATGAATTGATCTTTCAAAAATTGTGATGTTTCAAAATTTTTCATACTTTAACCTTAACCACTTTAACCAAATGGATTGGGAAAAAAAAAACAATCGAAATTTAGGTCATATATCTTTCTAAATTCCCTACTGGAATTGAAGCATCGAGAAAAAACTTTCGGCATTATTTCTTTAATTCTGACTCAATTTCTCAGTTAAAAACACCCGAACCACATAAGACACCAACATGTTTTGGCTTCATTTTACATTGAGTATTGTATTTATCTTACGATAATCACTTAAAACTTTGTGGAATATTCTCACAGTCTGGACATGTTAGCCTAAAGACTAAATGAAAGTAAACCAAAAAAAAAAAGAGAACTCATTGAAACATCAGAACCAGTCTTGCCCTCAACCAAGAAATTCACCAATGAATACCTACTCAAAATTAGTCTATCTCGAATGGCAATATTTAATGAATTACTGTTGTATATACTACTTTGGCCTGACATAACCTGTAACAGTTGAGCACCCATTTTTAGGAACTTATTGATTTGTAAAAAGTAGCTATAGGATCGGTCTGCAATCAGGGCTCGAAATACTGGGTGCATGTGCACGCCAACTTGGAGCTGTGCACCCAATTTTTTTCTGCAGGTGCACCAGTGCACCCAAATATTTTCATAGGTAAAGATGTTAAATGTATAGTGGTATACAGCATATTCTTAACATCTATTGAAGTGTCAAAAAAAAAAATAAAATCATAATAGTGCTTTCTTTTAGAAATGAAACATAATGATGTTTTTTGCTGACATCTACTTTTTTTTATCTTATGTGGTGCACCCAAAAAATTTTTGTGCACCCAATCTTTTAGGTTGGGTGCACCACCTTTTCCCAAAAATGAATTTCGAGCCCTGGGAATTAAGTTAAGAAGCACCCCCAGCTGTAATATGTTGGCAAAACTGTAGTGACAAAGTTGTGAGGAAGGAAGACAAAGAGCAAGCTCACTTTTTCTTGTGTGCCTTGGGTTGGGTGCACCTTTTCCCAAAAATGAATTTCGAGCCCTGGGAATTAGGAAGCATCTACAGGCTATACAGCTGTAGTATGTTGGCAAAACTGGTCCTGAATTTGTAGTGACAAAGTTGTGAGGAAGGAAGACAAAGAGCAAACTCACTTTTTCTTGTGTGCCTTGGGTTGGGTGCAACTTTTCCCAAAAATGAATTTCGAGCCCTGGGAATTAAGAAGCACCTATAGAGCTATAGTATGTTGGCAAGACTGGTCCTTAGTGTGTAGAAAGTGTTCAGGAAGGAAGGACAGAGAGCGAGCTCACTTTTTCTTGTGTGCCTTGGGGATGGTCTGCGTGGCAGAGGCGGCAGCCTGCTGGGCTTGCTGCTGCGCTGCCATGGCCGCCTGTTTCTTCTTGTTGAACAGGTTGATCTCCTCCTCAAGCATCTTCTTCTTCTCCTCCAGCTTCTTCTTCTCGTCCGAGTGTTGCCGCTTCAGCTGGTCGAACTTGGCATGGAGCTGGGGAAATGCGAGAGGTTAATGACTGGAAACACACACCCTGAGGCCTAGAAAAAAAATGTTGCTTCCTGTTTCAGTTCTGGAAAAATTATGGTCGGTAGGTAGGGATGATCTTTTTTTGTTTCTTTTCTTTAATAGACTTTGTTGATCTCTAGTGATCAAACTTACAGTTACCGGTATACAATATACAATACAGTTTAACAAAGTAAAACTTGCATGAGAACACGTATATTTTCAATGTCAATGTTGGAAAACTAATTGTACAATTTTTCATCATTCAGGTGTCATGGAACTAGAGAAGGTCAAAAAATGTATGACTCTTGCAGGGATCCATCAAAAATACATGTAGTCTAGGGTCTGCACTTTTTTCTCGTTGGGAGTCGGTTGGGAAACAAGAGCCACAGTCAACATTTTTTTCCCTAGACCTAAGGCCTTATCCTTTACGGCCTAATTATGTTTACCTTCACAGAAGGAAAACATTGTTATGTTTACTTTCACAGAAGGAACACAGTGTTTTTCTCCCTCTTCTCCAAACAAATAAGGTCAACGACCTGGACCACACAGCTGTTACCATGGTAACTGGTATGGTATCTGGGGCTGTTGCAGACATCCAGTGGTGTTGGATAACATTATGTAGCAAGTTGGAGGGGCTGGTCACCATACATATGAATGTGTTTGAGTAAGAAAAGAATAAACAGAGCAGTAGATTGTTGGCTTGACCAGGTGAAGATAAACATTATGCATTTACTTAACTTGTTACTACTCAATTTTACATAGAGTGGTTGGTAAGACATACTATGAATGTAAGTCACTTACTTCTTTCTCAGCCTCCTTCAGTTCTCCCTCCTTCTCCTTGACCCTGACCACGAACATCTGTCTCATCTCCTCTTCCTTCCTCTGCAGCTCATTCAGGTGTTCCACACGCTTGGCCTCGTATGTCTCATGTAGGCTGGTGAAGGTTAAACATCCAGGTAATAAGAAATGCCAAAAAAACAAATAAAAGCCTCCAGTTTAATTCTGGACTTCCAGATTAATTTCTGACTAATTCCCATATCCCAATCAAAATGGTACAATAGGAGCCATGAAGTCAATACACCAGACTGGTTCAAAATTGAAACAATGAATTTTGAACTTTCAATGATAACATTGCATTGAAAGATGGAATAACTGTAACAACTAGGAAGAAAAGGACTGTTTTTAACTGTTCAGGGCAAAATATGAGCATTTTGCAGTTGATTCTTGAAATTTTTTTTTTTTTGCAAATCAGAAAAAAATGAAGCGGGCGAATCCGTTAACCAAGAAATTAAATTGGTGTAGCCTTAGCCTGTTGTGTCTCACCTGAATGGCTTGTTATCCGAGTCGTCGTCCACAAACCCCATCTCCTCCAGACGACACCGGCGGAACAGCTCGTAGTGACGCGTGTGCGTCGTCTCCCGTAGGTCCTCCATGTTGGTTCGGACCAGCATCTCTCGCAACTTCACAAAGTCACAGTGGTTCTCGTTCTCCACTGGAAAATGTCAACACATTAATAAAGTCTTTATTTGCAAAATCAAAAAATTTGCGAAGGCTAAATGCTTTGTCAGAGTCAAAGATACCATGCGGTACAATACAGTAATAGGGAAAATCTGGTATAAAGTGCTCTATTATCCAAATTGTTTAGCACATTTACATAACTGTCCAGGGCCTGAAATACTGGGTACATGTGCACCTTAGTGCACCCAAAATTGGAGCTGTGCACCTAACTTTTTTCTGTGGGTGCAAGTATTTTTGTAGGTTTACATGTACCTACATGTATGTCAAGGTGTTAAATGTATAGTTACTATACTCTAAGCATACATTTGTATTCTTAACATCTGAGTGTCAGAAAAATAATGAAATCGTTCTTGTACTACTTTTCTTTAAAAATGAAATAGTAATTATAATAATTATTAGTTTTTGCTGACATGGTACTTATTTCATTTTACATAGTGCAACCAAAAACTTTTTGTGGACCCAATTTTTTAGGTTGGGTGCACCAGTGCACCTATTCCCAAAAATGAATTTGGAGACCTCCAGTGTCAAAAACAAGGCAAATCAACCTTTTGCTTGTAACACAACAGAAACACTTCTTGCTGGTGTATTTTCAGCTTGAGTGACATCTTACCTTGCACAGTACCCCATGGGTACACCCGTGCTCTCACCATCTTGTTTCCCACCTTCACTTCATCTGTACTCCCAACAACTGCAAATGGCAAGTGGCCCTGCAATACAAACAAAGAAGGCAATACAGAATAACACAACCGCTCTGATGCTTTGCCCCGGTACATAACAGACATACCAGCGTGCAAAATACCTGGTTGCCCAGTTGCCCCGGGCAACCAAATTTTCCTTGGGGCAACCTATTTTTGAACCTAGGTAGCCCAGTGTGCTACCTGAATTTTAAGAATGCCCCCCTCCCCACCCACAAAATCATGCCCACTTGGCTTGTATCTGTCAGATCCTCTTTCGTATGAATGGCCATTACTAGTATCAGTTAACTAAAGGCTGTTAGAAATATTGTCAAAGGATTATGTATGTAACATTACTTAATTTGAGGATAGTAGTAACTTATAGGTGGGGCAACCTAAAATTGTGATGGGCAACCTAATTTTTGCCATAATTTTTGGTTCAAAAAAGTATTTTGTACACTGCATGATATATTTGTAATGCTCCTCCAGACTACCTTGTCTGGCCATACAGTATACTTGGCAGAGGTACTGGTATAGAGAATGGAATCTTATACGAGTTATATGATTTTTAACGTGTTAGACTTACATTCATGGTAGCGTTGAGCTCAGCCACTGTCTCATCGTCTGTGGGGAACTGGTAGATCTGGACTCCGTTGCTCACTAACTCACTCATGATCTGAAAGACAAGAAGAACCACTTGCAAGTCACAAAAAGTACCAACAAGTCACAAAAAGAATCAACAAGAACAAAAAGAGGATTGTACTTCTAGAAATCTTAACTCGATATGGTGTATAATCATTACTTCCAGGAATGGAAATATTGTTTTGGGTTGCTGAATATTGAGTGTCTCTTTGGTTGGACAGAGAAGGTTGACAGCACGTGGGTGGGGAAAGATTGACAGGAGGAAAAAAGGTCAGACACAGGAAATGGGGGGAATGTGAAAATCAGGAATATCCAAAATACTTCCTATGAGTCTGAAATCTATCATTTCCTGTTGAAGTTTGATTTTCTTTCTAGTTCTCTAGTTAAAGCATACAGAAGAGCAGTCATGTGTTTGGTGTTTGTTCCAAGAATACTGGTTCATCCTGCATGATTTAAGGCCACTCTGACTTAATTCTATTGATGACATCCTCTGAAGACCCCAAAACTAGTGTGAGTGGGTAAAAAAAAGTCAAGCCAAAACAAAAATGCTGTTAAGCCACAGGAATGCAAAGCTGGGATTGTGAATTTGCAGTTGTACATAAATACTTTCACAACAAGTCGGCACATGCTGGGCTTTTGCAGCTTTTATAAGTCTCAACCATACCAAGTTCTAGAGATAGTAGAGTGGCTGGGTGTCCTCTGTAGTTACCACTGGCTCCATACTGTTGCTAGCTACCATTGACACTCATGGTTCAGTCTCATTTTTGTTTTTTTTTTTTTTTTTTTGAGAACAGGCAAATATCAATGCTTGCCCAGATGTCATCCATAAAACTAAATCAGTGTGGCCTAAGGTATGATACAGACACAAAGTACATTGTTGTACCTTGATCTTGAACTTGTGCAGCTCATTCTTGGATATCGTGTCTGCCTTTGCTATGATGGGGATGATGTTCACCTAGAGAAAACACATTCAAAATGTCTTTGAAATTTCAATTTCATACAACAGAGAATCGCTAGAAGAAGAAAAAACAGATCATGAACTTCTTGTAAATACAGTACAAGTGTCCACAGAAACTACATGTACAAAACAGAGAGTTTGAGAACATTCTCTTCTCTAGTCACACCCAAGCAAACATGTATTGAAGCTATCTGTAGGACCAAATGAGAACAGAGATATTTAAGATTGCTTACCTTTGAGTCAAGTTTCTTCATTGTGACCAAGTCCAAGGATTTTAACCTGCATGTGAATGACATCATGATCAACTCTTCATAATGGTAATGTCAGTGACAAAAACATATCCTGACCAACAACAGCATATGCAAATTATCGGCTAATGATAGTTGGATTGCAGATATCCTTGGACATGCATGTTTTGTTAAATATAATCTGATGGAAGAAAAACCCCTGTCTAAAACTTAAAAGTGGAGCATGGTTGTCTTGTGGTTAGGGTTGTTACATAACTCACAGTGGCTCATAACCTTACAGTTCCTTACATAGGCAAGCATGTTGGCAGAACGTACTGCGCCTGCGCAAAACTCTATTTTTTCACGGTTTCTGTTGGATGTTTGATCAACGTTGCCTGTTACAACGAATTTTGCCTGTTACAGAGGATATCATTTCTGACATAACATTTGGAAACTACAGATGGGATGTTAAACTTATATACACTAAGACGAACTTATATGATATGTTTTGCCAAAGTGCTATGCACGATGCATTACGGCTTTCGTGCAGGTGCAGTACGTTCTGCAACAGGCAATAGAATGTTCAACAATACGATAGCAGTTGCCTGGAACAATAAGGAAAGCAGGCTTACGAGTGTCCAGTGGGTGTGATGAAGTAGAGGCAGGCGTGTACACGTGTGTCATGGTACATGTGCAGTCCTCGCTTGATCTTTAACTCCTCCTGGAGGTAGTTCTCAAACTGTTGGTCTATGTACTCTACTATAGGCTTGTAACTGTGGACACAAACAATATATTTACATACAGCAGCACCTACGGGAGGTTTTATCATAGCCCCCAAACATACAGTTGCAAACCACACATTAGGCCATACCAATTTAATTTCTTGGTTAACGGATTTTTCTAGAAAAATAATGGAGCAGGCGGGTGAAAAAAATAATAAATAAAAACAGGCCTAGGCATCCTATTATGGCCCAAAATGGTATGATAGGAGCCATGAAGTCAACACACCAGGCTGGTTCAAAATTTAAACAATGAATTTTGAACTTTTAATGAACGTTTTGACTGCGAACACGAAAAAAGGGCTCTTCACAACACTCAGTCCGGAGGTCCTGACCTCCTTCACGGAGTAACAATGAATTTTGAACTTTTAATGATACTACTGCATTGAAAGATGGAATAACTGTAACAACTAGGAAGAAAAGGACTGTTTTAAACTGTTCAGGGCAAAATATGAGCATTTTGCAGTTGATTCTGATTTTTTTTTTTTGCAAATCAGAAAAAAATGAAGCGGGCGAATCCGTTAACCAAGAAATTAAATTGGTGTGGCCTTAGCTTTGATAAATCATTTTATATGAAGGACTTAAAATACACTAGTTACTAGAAGACTTTGCATAAAAGTAATATCTTTATGCATGTACATGTATAATATGTTGGATTATGAATGGTATTATAAGCCATCACCTGTCTTCCTTGTTGATCTGGTCCCCAAAGCCGACAGTGTAAACGATGTTCAGTTTCAGTCTCACGTTGCTTTCTTGAAGCTCTGTGTTTGGAGATAACATTCAAGACATGAAGAGAAACCAAACCAGCTACCACTACTTGTGATTAAAGTTCCTGTCGTAACTTGAATGCAGCTGTACAGTGAGCCTAAACAACTACAAACTGATCACACAATACAGGGAGTTAAGACATTTATGGAAAACTAAAAAAGTAAATTATAGTCTACCAAGGAGATCATGAGCCTAAGGTTTGACACTAACTACAAGGTAGGGACCTTTCTACAGACTTGTCTAGTCTCCCACAGATGAAGATATCTACTCTCTTGCAAAAAAAAAATATCTTTTAGATGTCCTTATTGCTAACTTGGGAAAGGAATTTTAAGGAAATTTACTAGCTTACGTGCACTGTGAACCAAGTAACAGTGCACTGTGAACTATGTAACACCTTTAGTGCACTACCGGGGGTATGCAACATCTAGCGTCAGTGCACAGTAAACCAGTCAGAATTGCCCTGCTGAAGATGACAGACGGTCATCGAAACATCGTAAAAAATAAATGGTTGTGATTAAAGAACTTTGCTATTCATTCGTTAACCAACCTGACGAATTCATTTACAGAAGGAAATTTAGTAATTCACATATATCTCTGAGAATTCCAGTAAAATCATAGGAAAATTTTCAGAAATGAGCCACAGGTTTCTTCCAATTCCAAAGAGAGTAGATGAAACCCAAAAGTAGAGCAGTACATGTGTAGAGCAAGCAGAAGAACAAAAAAACGTAGCAACGTAAGAAGACAGAGAAGGAGCCCTCAGTCCCTGAAGGCAGCACGTACCTCTGCGGAACATTAAAAAGGAGGCACCCTGAGCTATGGCAAGCATGAGTGTGCAGAAGGAGAGAAGAGTCACTCACACATGCAGTTTACAGACTGGTGCAGTCACAACTCTAACCTGAAGGCCACACACATTCACTACTTAGTTCTCACTTTTTCTAGAAAAGGGTAGAGCAAATAGGAGGACGAAAGGCTCCACCCCTGAACAATTGCCAAAAAAGGAAAGTTGAAAGTGATGTACAACATAGACTTATGTTCACTATGGTTACAAACTGAAATGAAAGCTGCTATGTACTAAACATGTAGAAAGATAGGCGTATTTCAAGGGCCTTAGAGAGACCTCTAGTGAGATCTGAGAAAACAGCAGGCTTCAAGTTTTAACCAAGACGTTATTGTGACAAAAACATTTCATTTCTTGAGGTACTGTAGTTTTGTGTCGTCATAAAATCCTGAACTGGGGGAATGTGAGAAATAACCAATCATACCGGTAGGAAAATTGTCTTCTATGAAAATGAAAATTAAGATTTTGGCAATCAAAAGAAAAGCTGTTTCCTTAGAGAAATCTGTTATCAAAAAAGTCCATTTCAGAAAGACAACTGAAAGATTTATTCTGGATGACCTACATGTAGAAATAACTGTATGTATGGTAAGAATAAGTAGTAAAAGGAAAAGGAGCAACCATATGCATACACAGAGAGGCAAACAAGTATAAAACCCACAGAATCCTCACGTTCCCTTTCTTTATACTAAATTATAATGTCCAACTTGTTAGTAATGTTACAAGCATTTATATATGTGTAAGCTTCCCTTCAGGCAGTATTCCACCAACCCCCATCCTTACCATATGTTTTAGACTTGAGGTGCACTCCTGGTACATCATGGGCTGCCGGCTCATCTGGAACCACAACATACATGGATCAGATGAGTTGGTAGGAAATGATTTGGCAACATTAACATTATGAAATCCTTAGGCCACATCATCTTAATTTCTTCTTCTTCTTCTTCTTCTTCGATACTCTCTAACCACCCCTACTGGGGTATCACTGAGAGGGGGGGGGGGTGCGACGGACTATGGCTGCGCGGCCAGGAGCCCGGCCTTGAAGGCCTCCACTGTCTGGGCTTTTACAAGCTGGCCCGGTAACTTGTTCCACTCATTTATCGTTCTTGGAAAAAAAGAAAATCTAAAACAGTCTGTTTTGGCTTTTACAAGCTGGCCCGGTAACTTGTTCCACTCATTTATCGTTCTTGGAAAAAAAGAAAATCTAAAACAGTCTGTTTTGGCAGTTTGTTGGTTCTCTGATTTTTTCAGAAAAAATATTAAGCGACAGGGCAAAAAAAATAAATAAATAAAAACAGGTCTAGCTAGGCATCCTATTATAGCCCCTAATGCTTTGATAGGAGCCATGAAGTCAACACAAAAGGCTGGGTTAAACAATGAATTATGAACTTTTAATCAAACCACTGCATTGATAGATGGACAAGCTGTAACAACTAGGAAATACTTTCCTCAACTGTTGGGGATAAAATATGAGCATTTTTGAGTTGATTCAGGACCAGAAACTTTTTTTTTGGAAATCAGAAAAAAAAATGAAGAGGTGAATTCAAGAACCATCAAATCAAATTGGTGTGGCCTTACTATGCAAAAAAGTGGTATCATATAGTTTCACTCAAATACGGTGAAGTATTTGCAGGTTCTGGCAGCTTGTGTTTAAAATCACTGTTTCTCAAATGACCACATATCTATGGAAATTAGTACAACATGTTCATTGTATACAGGGGAAGGAAAAGAATGTATATGTAGTTTCAATCATTCGATAAAACTTTTAATTTTCTAACCTTCAAACTGGGTGTTAAACAAGGTGTCCATCAGAGTAGACTTTCCCACTCCAGTTTCACCTGTAGAAAATAAAACATTACAATTAAGAAGACCAAGAGAAAGAAACTGAGCATCAATGCTACTAGTGCTGTATACATCAGGGACATAACATCAGGGACACAGGGCTTGAAATTCATTTTTGGGAATAGGTGCACTGGCACCCAAAAATCTGGGTGCACATAAAATAATAAGATAAAATAAGTAGAATGTCTGCAAAGAAAAGCACTATAACAATGATTGTATTATTTTTTCTGACACTTAGATGTTCAGAATATGCTGTAACAACTATACATTTAACATCTTTACATACGTTAAACCTAAGAAAATATTTGAGTGCACTGGTGCACCCACAGAAAAAAATTGGGTGCACAGCTCCAAATTTGGGTGCACTTAGGTACACAAGTCAAGTCAAGTCAAAGTTTATTGCACAACTAATGTACGGATACATCGTATGGCAATTAGCGGTACTAGGTACAAATCTAACATGCACCCAGTATTTCAAGCCCTGGGGACAGGTACTGGTACATGCACAATTGTGTCTCTAATGATAACAGAAACACGAGTTAACAAAATGTTTGTTTAAACTTTAGAACTAAGGTATCTTCAATGATTTCAAGGTACTTGTACCAGCACATAGCACTAAGTTGTAACTTGCAATATCATTGATGGACAAGCACATATAACTTACAAATTAAAGTATTACATGTGCAGTATTGAAAACGGTATGCAGAGTACACAGAAAGAAAGAAACTGACATTGATTATGTCTGAAGTTAGTCCAGAATATTTCAGCAATCTCTGTCAAATCCTTGAACCAAATACCTGACAGCTGACTCTTTACCGTCTTACTAAATACAAACTTCCGAGGGTCAGTTCAAGTGGGTAAAAGTAACTAAAATTCTATTAACCTCTCACTAAGGGTCCTTCAAGGAACATAGAAACCTTGAACTCCAAGAAAATGGGATTTTAGTGTGCCTGTTTTCAATTAGGCCACAGCAAGTAAATTTTATGGATGACATCCCCCGCAGACTCCAAATCTAATGCGAGCGGGCGAAAAAAAAACAAGGCAGGCCGAAAAAAACAAGGTTCCAACAATTTAAAATTTTGACTCAACCATTGTACAAATGTTTTTGATTCAGTGGGAACATCACAGTCATACACAGCCACCATCACATATCACTGCATCAAAGTAAGAAACAAAACATTAAATAAGAGCCTTTTCTTGTCTCCTCTCTTCATAGTTATCTGCCATCCACCTTCCGGCATGGCAGCAGACATCTTTTCCCCATTTTTGGCATATTGACAACTGTCAGAAGGCAACAAAATTTTTTTTTTCCAAAATCAGGCGAAAAATAATGCGCGCGCTGATGTAATCCATAAAAATTACTTGCTGTGGCCTTACTCCCCCTTTCCACTTGAGGCTGTGACCGACCATTGAGATACACATATAGTGCTACCAGATACATGTATTTGACAGATTGCTCCATGATTTTTCATGAACAAATTAGGAATTATGTAGATTGCTCAATGATTTTTTTATAAATGAATAAGAAATTTTGATCATTTTGTACTGTATGTCTTGTTGTCTTTTATAGTACATTTACAAACTGTATAATTATTTATTGTGCGATATATTCTGATTATTAAAGTAAAACCAAGGATTGCATAAATCCAATTTTGGTATTCAGTGATCAGCGCGTGTGATAGAAAATGGGCCTCACAAACAGAATTCCCAGGCAGTTGTAGCTTTGATACATGTACAAGGAAATTCATAAAATAAAAGGAAGATCATGAAGTCTCGCCTACTCTAGGGCTTGAAATTAAAGGTGGTCCAATGGCCACTGACCACTAAAATTTAGGCTGGGACAACTAAAAAGTAAAAAGACACTTTGGGACATTTTTGGGACAATAGAAAAATACTCCACATCAGAATGTCAGCCCTTCTTTTGTTAATCAGGCACACATCCCGGCTTTTGGATCCGAAAAAGTCCCCCAGAATTTCCTGTCTACTCTGCAATTATACTAGTTTACAGTGCGCCTGGGAGTGAAGATAAAATATAAGCAAAATAAAGTTGACTTCAAGTTGAAGTCATAGAATACTAGTACTTCCCAAATAACAGGTTGGGAACAGTGGTTGGGACAGTTCATCCTCACTTTGAGACAATAGATTGAAATTTATTTTTGGGACAGTAGGAAGAAAAGTTAATTTCGAGGCCTGCTACTTACCCACACACAGAATGTTGAAACAGAAGCCCCCAGACACGGACTTGTTCACCAGCTGATCAGGTAAACTGTCAAACCCCACGTGGCCCTTCAGCTCCAGCGAGCGGGCGTCGGCCCCCTGTCAACACAAAACATCAACATTGACAAACATGAACTAATCACACATACAATAACCTTCACCTCATCAGAAAATAAATTTTATGTTGTAAAATCAATATTCTGCACAAAATGATGTAAAAATAGTCTGATAAAACGACAAATCTTGTTACAATATACTGACTTTACATTGCTGGTATTACAAAAGTGCTGGGACAGGTACAGTCGGTAAAATAATATTAATAATTCCTTTATCATACCTAACCACACATAGATTTTGTGACATTATATAGTAGCAGTTCCAACTCAAGATCCCTGTGACCAGTTGATTTAGGCACATGTCTAAAACTCTTGAAAAATTATTTGCAGAAGTGTCCAACCTAGTGGGTTATATGATCTATTTCACCGTTTGATTTATACAAATTATAAACCAAGACGTGAGTTGTGGAAATAGTAATATAAGGCAAATGGCAAGGTGATCCAAAACAAGTCACCTATTTGGCTGAATATACAAATAAACTACAGTTAGTAGGCAGTTATTATTTGTAGCCTACTGGGGTATTATCATGTTAGAGAGACTAATCTTTTTGCACTAAGAAATAAAAAAAAATAGTTTAAATCAGCTGCTATGATTGACCTTCACCATAAAACACCACGCTTGATGCTAAATCCCACCACCAAGCTGTTTCATTAGTTTGGTCTAAAACTACAAAGCCGATTGGTTAATATCCAGAAGGACGTGACTCAGACACCCATACTGGCCAATCGGGTGGTCTGATCTAACCTGCTCGGCATCCAAAATGTCAAAGTCGTCCATATCAAACTGACGACCACCATCTGCACCTGGGCTCTGAAAAAAACAGTCATGTGTTACAGATCACCTGTTGTTGACTTCTAGAAGGCATTCACTACCTGTACTAGGGTCACGTGATTCAAACCCACCCCGTCTAGTAGAAAAAGTATCAAAATCTAAGGCCACGACTTTTGTCAACATTTCCAACTTTGCAGGTCAATACAGGCGTCATTTCTCTTTCCAGTTTCTCACAAAACATTTCAATGTTGTTGATTTCTAAAAGGCATTCACTACCTGTGCTAGGGTCACGTGATTCATACCCACCCCGTCTAGCAGAAAAACTATCAAAATCTAAGGCCACGACTTTTGTCAACATTTCCAACTTCGCAGATCAATACAGGCGTCATTTCTCTTTCCAGTTTCTCACAAAACAATTTCAATTGTAATTTCCGCTATGGATGCAGATATAGTGTAATGCGAGACAACCAAATTTTCAAACACTACAAACTCAAGGTATGTTTACAAAATGTCCTTATTGACTTTCGCGATACCATGCCTATCAGAGCACTGTTGTGGCTATGTCTAACGAATAGGGCCACCAACTAAAGTGTTTAATGGATAGAGACTTATGGAAATGGTCCTAGCAGGCACTGACCACCTTTTCAACAGCAAGCCATTGTGTCAGTGTGTTAGAGGACCTATTTCCCAAACACACAACAAATGAATGAAAGACCTTTATTGTACGTTTGTGCTCTAACAAGCTAAGTACAGGTCATGAATAAACGGAAAAAGAATACAGTTATGACACTTACATACTATACATACTAATGTGATCTACTATATACATGTACATGTTCTCCTTGTTTCTTGACGCAGTTAAAGATGTACGAACATATTGAGCTAATGATACATGGTTTGTCAAGTTTCATGAGGAATATGAATTTTTCTATTCTGTCTAAAAGCTTGGGAACTAATCTATTACATCAGTATAGATCTAGAGGGAATCCCTCTCATTTCTATATAATGTGAAGTCAACTACAAAATGGCATTCATCTTCAATATTAAATCTTCTAGATTAAAGAACCTTCAGGATGCTTCCCGAAAGAAAATTGTTAAACTTATCAAAGAGAATCTTAGATGACAGTCAATGGCTACTCAATGATTCTTTGTTGTCAACGCATCAAAATTAATCAAACGAAAAGGGGCTTTTGTGGAAGGATGAGGCATCTAGACACAACTCAACATAATTTTATTTTTGACAGTGTTGCTCAGTACAAAGCCACGTGACCATTTTTAGGAACTGAGCCAGGTTAAAGTTAAATGCTATTATTATGCTGGACAAATACATGTATGACAATTCTACAGTGCTTGTTACCTTTTCCACAATGTCTAGGCATAATTCTTATAAATGCTAGTTAAATCAATTAACCAATACTCCCCCTGATCTACAGTGGGTCAACTGTCAAGTACAGTATGGTAAAATGTAACAGGCAAACTGACACCACAAAGAATGGGTGGTTAGGCCATACCAATTTAATTTGTTGGTTCTCGGATTAGCCTCTTTATTTTTTTCTGATTTGCAAAAAAAAAAAAAAAAAAATTCTGAATCAACTAAAAAATGCTCATAAAAAAAGTCATATTTTGTCCCCAACAGTTGAGGAAAGTCATTTTCTTCCTAGTTGTTACAGTTTTTCCATCTATCATTGCAGTGGTTTGATTAAACGTTAAAAATTCATTGTTTAAATATTAACCCAGCCTTTTGTGTTGACTCTTATCATTACATTTGGGGCCATAATAGGATGCCTAACCCTGTTTTTATTTTTTTTTCGCCCTGTCGCTTCATATTTTTTCTAGAAAAATCCGAGAACCAAGAAATTACATTGGTGTGGCCTTAACTTAACAAAGCGTGCCAGACGGAATCACTCCAATGAGGGGGTTTCTTTCTCTACTGTGCCGCCCTGTCAAACTGGGAGGGAATGATTAACTGGTGGGATTAACTTAAAGACAGCTACCAGGGACTTGAGTTTGGATCCCCCAGACCGACCTAATCCCCCTTGATGAGAAGCATCTTCCAAACGTGGATTCCACAAAAAGAATATATATAAAGCTGCTAAATCAAAAACGTATGAAAAAAAATTCTCCTTTGTTCCATCAGAATGAACACAGTTTGGAGAAAATATGGTCAAGAATGCAGAGACGTCAGCGTCGGTGACTAAGATGAACGCAGCCGTAAACCAACTTAACGCTACCCTGTCTCCAGAGCGTAAACCTTGTCCTTCACGTGCTAGAAAGTTGCGGCTAAGTAAATATCGCCTAGATCCCTCTCTCCTAAATCCTAACACTTGTAGCTGCTTGTAACGTTCTAATCAGGGATTAGCGGCGGACGATAGGGCTTAGCGTGCGTGTTTAAAGTCAGCGTGAAACGTGACATCGCGCAATAAATCACGTACGCCAAGTACGCAGTAACGAAGTGACCACGCCTGATACAAGTGACAGTAAAATGACTGATAAAACAATGACAGACTGCACAGATATAAGGAATGTTCGATCAGCACGTCCGCTACACCAAACTTCCCACTTCGAGCTACAAATTTTCTCGTACGCCAAGTTTGTATGACAGTACCAAAACAACAGGATAATCCCCCATCAACAAGGCCCGACAGGGAAGGAAAATGAAGTGGACATTACCAGTGACAGGAGGTGCGTCATGTCGATCTGGGAGAGCACTTGCCACCTCTGGCCGTAGACAGGCATACTACACAGTCAAGGGGACCGACTGACACCCTGCTGACTGCTTAGATGGGGGTGACCCTAAGCCACTGACACTGGCGGTAAATTAGGGGGAGATAAAGGCTTTTATGTGGACAGGAGGGGGGAGAAAATGGGCAAGGTACACATGTAGGGGGCGGGAGGGGGGTCAAAGGGGGCGGGGATTCTTTACTGGAGAACTCCAACTAGTACAAGGGATGTCTGAACCAGAAGAATAATATAAATTATAATGCAGAAAAGTTCAATTGTGGTTGAAAATTTTTGGGGAATGAAATATGGCAATAATGTCAAATAAAGAATGCTATCCTCCATTTTGATACACCCAAATATTAGGGAACACCGATTGGATTTTATGGTTCTCAGATTTACATGCATCATTTTTTTTCTGATTTACAAAAGAAACAACATGTGTACAAGTACCATTTAGGTTCTAAAACTAAAAGTCCTTGTCTTTAAGGTACAGTAGGTTGTTAACAGCTTTTTCATTTATCAATGCAGTGATTTAATTAAAAGTTCAAAATTCTTTGGTTGAAATATAATATATAATTATAAACCAGCCTACAAAGCAGTGTGTTGAATTTGTGACTCCGATAATGGTATCATTTTGGACTTTTTTTTGGCCTGCTGCACTGCTTTCCAGTAAAAATCCCCAAACCAAGAAATTTACTTGGTGTGGCCTAAAGGTATGTTTTAGCTCATATGTCTAGCGGAAGGAGTACTTCAAATTCTCTTTACAAATAAATATGGAGGATAAACAGGAAGCTTTGAAAGGGTCCAAATTTGTCCTTCAAAAAAGGTTTTGATACACATGAGTGGATAGTGAGGTCAGTAGAAATGGAAGTATAAGTATAGACAGCTGAAAGGGGTCTAGCCAAACCTTGGAGAGTATAAAATTCAAAAACACATTGGCATAAGAAAATAAATACCAGTACTCTTATCTTATCTTTTTCTGATGAGTTCTAACTTGGAGATACAGAGGCTGAATTAAATCATCATCTCGTTTGTAGATTTTTGAAAATTTATGGAAAAATGGGAGAAGTAAGCAAAAACATTTTTTTGGTATATTGCTTCTTGTAGGTACTTGTAATATTATGTTCTACCCTAGGGTATTTTCCAGACTCAGATCTGCTGACACAAAACTAAGAGAAGTTTCAGTGGACTTATGTATCATGCACCCCAGAGATCTCAAGATTGATGTTTTCTAGGGAAAAATCTGCACTCAGTTCTTGATAAAGGTAGATACCTAAAATACCTAACATTTCTAGCCCTAAGTTGTGATGTTGCAAGTGTTGTCTGCAAAAACAAATCTGCAGATGCGAGACAAGCAAGTCATAGTCATATGTTAATTTACTTGCAAAACCAGGGAAAGACACAACAGTGTTTGGCCGACTTTAGACTGACAACGGTTGAATAGTCGTACGAATGTTTATCGTCAAGATGTTGCCGGCAACGGTATTTTACCACCGTCTAAAGACGATCAAAATAGTCGTACGACAGTAATCCTCGAATCGTCGTCACTACCACCTCAGAGGCTCAGACCCTATCGTGCGTTCCTTCAGCGGGGGGTCCGAGACGGATTTTCCTCCGTATAAAGTGAACCCGTCGCCGGCGAAGGAAGTAGGATGTCATAGATCATATGCAAATGAGCCTGCAAGCGTTAACATTATTTTCTGTCCAAAAACATCGCCTATAGTACGCTTTCTGGTCATGTGTGCCGTCGCCCACAACGATTATCGTGCGACCATGTACTGTCGTCAGTCTAAAGTCGGCCTTTGAATCTCTGCCATGTGCGGCAGGGCTGTTTGCCTACATCTGTGCATACTGCGTACCAGCATGTGCGTGTCTAGATAAGCCAGCTTCAAGTCCAGGAAGTGCTGAAACAAGCCAGACTACCACACATAAATCTTCAAAACTCCTATAGTATAACTCAACTTCTCTGAGTCTGACATCAAAGGGAAAAGATTGAACCAATGGGAGCATTTTCACCTGTAGTGACAGTGTTCTCACTATGCTGTGATTTGGACCCCCTATGATGTGATTTGGACCAGCATAGGGGTGTTTTTTTGAGGGGAAAACCATCATAAATCTTGCAAAAAAAAAATGAAACTATAACTTAAGGATGAACCTATAGAAAAGGGAAGACCTTAGCTTCACAAAATCTGTCCTTCAATAAGTGAGAAATAGTGGGGTTTACGAGTTTCAAATTTTTTTTTTAAATACCAGACCCCGCTGCTGTGGTCAAGTTTTGGGGACTCAATGCACGACTTGCACCACAAAAGTTGTCTTTC